TTTTCTTGGAGGCAACCAAAACACAACTCTGATCCTGTAAGCTCTTAGACTCTCTTGAAGATTTAATCACAGTGTAAAATCTCCAAGTTTTTTTATTAGCAGTGTTGACAGTGTTGGGTTATCAACTGCACCACTCTCTCAAGTGGCAACCAGTATGATTCCCAGGTCTGTCTCTGTTACACATTCCAGGGGTCTGCAGACTGTGTCTGTCAGATTGGTGTCCTGGTCTAGCCTTGTAAATTCTTTCCAGGGGAGACTTAGGACACATCATTCCAGCTGCCAAGGTCTGTACTTATAAGGTGCAGAATTTATTAGCACAAAAAAAAAGAAATCTTGCTACTTTTAAAAGTGCTTTTACATATGATTTCTTTATTAGAGTTTGCTGTTTCCAGATATCCAGCTGCCCACCTCACCAGAGTCTTTCGTGCTATGTCAAGGGGTCCTGCTGAGGTTCCAAAGAACTTCTGTGAGCTCTGATGCTGTTATGAAACAACCAAGATCACCTGCACCACTCTTTTAAAGGAAGTCATTGGAAGCAACTCACAGTTGGGGAGAAGGAGGCCCTAAGAATCAGCATTTTAATGTACACACAGTCATGCAAATGTACATAAAGAGTTTGATAGGGAACTCACATTTGCCCAGCTCCGGAAATCACGGCTACTTAATGTTCCAAACACCATCTCTTTCTAGTCTAGATTTTCTTCTCTCCTATTCCCCAAGACTGCTGTTTTAATTTATTCCCAATCCGAGACAGCTATTGGTCATAGAGTATAGCATGGCCCCCCAAAAAATATCTCAAAGAGATAACGTGGCATAACATAAAGTGGCTGCAGAAAAAGACGGGCAATCTCCTCCTGTTAAGACTTCCAGCCTCAGAAACCTGATGGAGGTCACTATGAGTCAACACCCACCTGACAGCAGCAAATTTGAGTTTTGACTATTTGTGTAACCTTGGATAAGACACTTAATTCATAAAACTTTCATTTTTCTCTATAAAATGAACATAAATGTAAATAATAACATTTATCTCAGTAAGGTTTCTTTAGAGAAATTAGAACAAATTGACAGTACACACACAACATTTATATAGCTACAAATATACACATTTACAACAATTAAAACAAATTGTCATTATAAATAAAAATGGATTATATGTTCAATTTAATCCATTTCTTAATGAGTTTCAGTAGCTTATATAGATTATGTGCCTCAAGAGTTTAAAATCTTGTCTTTTTTGGCTCCCCACAGTATTCCCAGTGCCTAAAATACTTAGAGCATATAAGATAAATGCAAAGTATTTGTGAATTAAAAAATGAAGAAATAAGAGGAAGAAGAATGAAAAAAGGAAGAAAAAAAGGAAGGGCTGAGTTTTCAGGACATTATGGGTCTGTACTGGAGAAGGCGAAACTAGTTTGCTATTTGGAGGCAAAGATTTTGAAGCTCAATCTCACATACTTTGGGCATGTTGCTAAGAGGGACCAGTTGTTGGAAAAAGACATCATGTTTGGAAGGGTAAATTGTCAGTACAGAAGAGGAAGACCCTGGGTGAAATGGACTGACACAATGTCTATGGCAAGCGAGTCAGGTGTATCTGAAATGATGAGCTTGGGTTAGGATAGGAAAAAGTTCAAAGCCATTGTTCATTAGGGTCACCATGAGTTGTGACCAAGACAACTTGATGGCACTTAACAACAACAACAAATTGGTGTACTGTGTGTGAAAGTGATCTTTAAGTTTAATATTTAAATTGTTCAAATACTATAAATAGCATTTGATATGTCACAGTGATCTTTGAAAAGTCATTTATATTAGGTCACCCTGCCTCTCCAGTACACACACTTAAGAACTCCTCACAGCTTTTCATATCACTTACAATATAGGTCTACTTCTTTTTAGTTTGCTAAAGTATTATCAGATCACTGCCTACCTCATTTCTCACCATTTCCCAACATTCATGAACGACTCTGGTCTTCTTATATTTCTTGGGTTGTGCTCGGCTTGTTTTTTCCTTGGCATCTTTGTGCTTGCCTCTTCTTCTGCCCAGGAAGCTCTTTCGTGAAATCTGCATGGCTTGCTCCTTATTCTCATTGAGCTCCTGGCTTAAATGTCACTTTCTCAGAGAAGCCTTTCCTGTACATCCACTCCAAAGTAGTCTTTTTTTTTTTTTTATCAGCTTTCCATTTATTTTGTTTTAAACATTCTTATTTCATTTCCTTATGTTCATAAATTATTCAAAACATTCTTAAACTCTATAAGACAGTAATAAAATATTTTGGCACAACATTGATATACAATGTATGGTATATGTTTAAAAAATTAATTTAAAAATTTCACCTATCAGCAAGCTTTTGTTTGAATGTAGTGCATATATATACTTTAGTTATTCAATTCAAATACATAAAGGTTTATAATTGATTTACAGATGAAGCAATCACAGATTGCAGTTAGATATACAAATATTACCAGTATATTCTTGGTATAAATACAAATATATACCAATAGAGGGGAAAACTGCATCCTGGCAATTTTACAGTCCAAAGTCTTGTGGGTATGTGCATCATTTATATGCCTTTCTCATTTTGTTCTCTGTACAATGATTATTGATGCACTCTTTCTTCATTCCTGATGAGATTTTTCTGCAATCACTTTACATTCATACAGTGCTAGTTGTCGACCAATGTTTCCCATTGTTATGCCTCCAGCAAAAAAAATACAAGGTAACCAAGAACGCACATAGAGAAAATCTGGAGATGTATATTGATAAACACCATTATAGACTAGCAGTTGTGTGACCAAAGTTGCCAAAAAAGCAATTCCTACGCCAAGGCCAAAACCACTTCTAGATCTATCAAATGTTCACCATAGTCCAATGGATAGTGCAGCCAGTGTGAGAGACAACTGTATGTTGTTATCAAAATCCACTTTAGCACTGGCATGATTTATACCGACAAAGACAGCTACGCACCGCATTACACTTGACCATTCTCTTTTAAACTTATGTGGCTCTCCCAGATGCTTGTCAATACAGGGGTATAATAATCCAATTACAGCTGAAGCTGTGCCACAGCATGGTGGTACCCACCATGCTGAAGAAAAGATGCTTGCAATCACATCAGGTGGAAAAAGGGTCACATTTCTTTGAATTTGGAGTAAATTTAATACTAAGGCAAGAAATACTCCAATCAAAAACAGCACTATTCCACGGATCATCAAGTTCAGACTCTGGCTAGTAACAGATGAAATATATGGGCCACACTTTCTAGGCCCTGGTGACTGTGTCTCTCCTTCCGCCATGGTTTCTTAAGTTCAATAAACAGGCAGGAACAAATGCTTCCCAGCTGAAAATCTCAATTGTCTGTGAATCCAAGCAGACTGATGTGTCAACTGTAGTTCATTTAGTCCTAGAATGGAACTTTCCAGTAATCCTCAGCCTCCGCCATCTTTGGGGTCGGCCCGCCCCCTCCAAAGTAGTCTTAATGATTCCTGGCTCTCGGATGCTATTAACCATCCATCCGTCTATCATCTATCTATCATCTATCTATCTATCTATCTATCTATCTATCTATCATTATCACTATCATCTATTTTCTATCATTAGTTTCCCCCCAAATTTGGTTATTCATTAAATATTTCTATTTGAGTGAAATTTGTTTAATGTGTACATTTCATAGATGTCTTTCTAATTATTTGTTTGCCTCTGTATATTTGTGAATTAAACATGAAAAAAACCAGAAAATAACTATTTCACACAAAACATTCCCTCCTCCTCTTACTCAGTCTATCCTCCTATACAACTTTGAGAAAGCTATCCTTATCCTGTGAATGAAAGCAAATCTACTGACCAACACTAATATCTGTGATTTAATTGGAGTCATTTACAACCTGTGACACCATAATTACTTAGTATTCTGACTTGGAGGGATCCATTTGAGGCATGGAAACAGTGCTGTCCAGCGCCAAGCTACTCTCTGTTGTGTTCTAGGAGGATTCCTGGCTTGAAGCAGGGTTAGGAGTGGAGGGGGTGAAGAGGAAGAGAAATGAGTTCCAGTTTAGGGTTTATGTATTTAATGTAAAGTAGCGGGTGGCCGTGATTGCACATGAAGAAGGAATACAGGGCAGGACAAGATCTAGGGCACCCACCTTGCCCCATCTAAGCTATCCGATCCTGCATTAAAGGAGGCAGAACTGGGACATCTCCAAGAAGATTCCTAGGGCTGACTTCCAAGAATTGATCCAAGGAATCTGACCTTTCTTTATGACCACAACATCTGTTAAGAATAATGATATCTTTAGGTCAGCTGATAGCTTTTCCAGCTAAATGGGATTTCCCTGATTGGCCAGTAAAGTCACTGGATAAAGCCAGTTCTCTGCTTTTGCCATTTTTCTTTAGTCTTCACTCTCCTAGAGAAGCTGACGCTCTGGGCAAATCCTCACTTTACCACCCGTGGATCAACAGCTGATTTTAAGTGCTCCTCGGCTACTCCCCAAGGAATGGGTTCCTCTACTGTATCTGACCTCAGCTTACACTCCCCCATCTGCTTTCAACATGTAGCATTTGATGTTAACTAAAGTCTCCCATTAGCATTAAAAGAAAACAATCTGGAAAAATTCACTCTCAAGCAGAGTTCAAACAGGCCACAAGTAGAAGTGGAATCTCAACTGTGCAAGATTTCTTTAAAAAGAATAAGAAATAAGTACATTAAAATGTTACATATAAATGTGCACATGTGTGCATTTTCACATATGGGTATACCTATGTGTGTGTGCATGTGTATACATAGATACATGTGAGGTTCGGTTTTGTGTGTGTGTGTGTGTGCACTGAATTAAAAAGTCTGAAATAGGTCAAAGAAATAGAAAGTTAGAAAGAATGCTTCTGTCTGATTTATGAAATTAATGAGGAACAGAAAGAGGGGAACAATTCTCACAGTGTGGAAACAAGACACAATAATAGTGTTGAATTACATGAAAGGAGTTGAGAATCTTTACTTCACACTTACTGGCAATGGGTTGAAATTCTGGTCCACAAGGTGATTGTATCCATGGTCAAAAAATGAGTGCCGTATTACCACATCAATACCCTGATTGGCCAGCATTCCTAAAGTGTTCAGCCATCTTAAAAAACAGGGAGAAAATACACATCAGTACATTTCCAAAATGGCATTTAACAAACTCTATACACAGTGGCCAGGATATATACACACACATGCATCCACATTCACTATCCTCACCTTTGAATTTGTTTGTTACCTGTTACTTTAAACTAAAGGAGAAGAGTCTTTTAATCACTGAATGAACAGTTGGAATGGATTGTAGAAATGATGAAATCCAACTTATGCATCTTAAAGAAAAATATATGAAGTCCCAGGTATATGGAAATATATGAAAAATATATGAAGTCACGAAATAGTTTATTGTAATGACTTCTCTTTCATTCCTCAATACCAACAAATCAAATGAATATCTGAGTCACTTTTAAACCTAGCTTATCCTCCATGGCTATAGGACACACCATCACAGAAGCACACACATAATACATTCTGCCACTGAGACATCTCTGCTTGGACCCTACCACTGAATGCACCTTTTCATGTAACACATACTCTGAGGACCTGGATATCTGCATCCTCATACATCACTTTCAACATCAATGCAACGATTACTTTCCTTAAACAACAACATACAGAAATTCAAGTATGCCACCATGCACACACACAGATAACACATAATAAGAGGCCTGCATTGTTCACACACTTTGCATATATTTCATTAAGTAAAACACCTTCTTTCCACTGTTTACTACCCTTCCAAAATGTGCCTGTTTTGGTTTTTCCAACACTCACCTAAATTCTGCCTTCATTTTTTACACATTCATTCAGGCAATTACTTTCCCCTCTACTTTTGAAATTCAGAAAAACGTTTAATTGTAATAGTATGCTATTGTTGCTGCTGTGTACTGTAGACTCAGAACCACCCCACAGCTGACCCTCCTGAGGTTTTTCAGATGCAGTTAATCACATGGGAGGGAACTTCCCAGCCTTCTCCAGGGGAGCAGCTGGTGGCCTAGAACTGCGTGCCTTCGGCTTCAGCTTTTCAGAGGCCGTTAATAACAAGGGAGGAGATTGTTCATCCTTCTCCAGTAGAGCTGGTGTCCTCCAACTGCATGCTGTCCGTTTGCAGCACAGCTTCTTGCCACTAGGGCACCAGAGCTCTCTTGTACAGGCGTTGTAAATTTATCTTGGAGTTGCAGTTTTCTCCATAGAAGAGAAGATATTTCACAATCTGTCCCCAGTGTACATGTGCAGCTTCATCTGTTATTTCTCTCCTTTCTTCTTTCACCCTATATCCTATTCCCCACAGTCTAAGGTTACACAAAACTTCTCCTGACTACCCAAGTATGCCATGCTTTCTCATACCTACCTATGTCTTTACACAGGGTTTTCCTTCTGCTTAGAATTATCATCATCCTTTCCTTCTCCCACTTTCTTTCTATCTGGCAAGTGTCTTCTCATTTATCTCTTAAAATCCTCAGCCCTAATCAGTCATTATTATCTTCCTCATCTGTATTTACCCCAAACTCTCTTATCCATAACTCTTTCCTAATCCACTGCATGGTACTGCTTATTTCTCTGTCTTCTTCTCACCTCATGTTGGTAGGAGCTCATCAAATATAGACACAATGTCTCAGCCTTGCAGCTCAAATGTCTATCAGAGTTTCCAGAACACTCTAGGCCTGGTGTTGTAATACCTAGTGCAGGCACTAAACACTATTTGTTGAATGGTTAAACACAATCACACACAAAAAGAGAAGTAGACTCCCTGCAACGGGATGAACAATGATCTGGGTCCAAGAATAACATTCATTCTTTTCTTTTTTTGTCAAAGTTTCTTGGAGTAAAATTGCAAGTGTCACTCACAGGAATCCTGCAGCATAGGAATCAGACAAATTGTTTGTGCCTCCAGCTGAGGTGGTCACCACACCTTCAAGCCAAATCTTCTTTCCTGGAGTATATGTATTAACCACCTGTTCATAAAACAAAAGCAGAAGGGTACAGTAAGGTATTTTTAAAGCACTCTCAAAATGAGGAAGAACCCACATTTCCTTGAGAAAGCGTCTCAGGTTCCATGCTTCCACGTGAACATGATTTGTGATTTTTTTTTTAAATGACTGTGCAGCCCATGAAGTGAGTTGGTATATACACACAAAGAATATAGACCTATCTACTCAAGGAAAAACACAATGACAATGTGCTGAGAATTATTAGTTTATATTCAAGGATGTAGATACAAGACCATTCAAATGAAAACATAAACCATACCATGTCTCATTCTACAAACACTGAACAGCGATTTAAAAAAAAATAAAATTCAGCCATGGCACCTCCATGGACTGTGTGCATGATCCATGCAAGAGTTCACCAACTATACTAAAGGGTGCTTGGCAATGTTTGGAAGGCTGTGTTTATAATTACTAGAGTATGCATATTGCTATTGCATTTTTAAAAGAACTCTGTTGAATATGAAAAGGAAAATCACTAGCCCACAGGTAAAAGCTCCTACACAAAAAGTAACGGCAGACAAACACCTTCTGAGAAGAGGCAAAACCACTTGTCACAAGACTCTATGAAGGCCCACTGAGTTTTTGAAATGGTTGACGTCTAATTCACAAGTTAGAGAATTGACCAAATCGAAAAAGAGGAAGCCGTCAATGAGATGGATTGACAGGATGCTCAAACGTAGCAATGATTACAGGATGGCGCAGGGTGAGGCAGTGTGTCATTCTGTTGGTGCACAGATGGGCAATATTTTGTTCTTCTTTAAAAAGAGTCACTATGAGTTGGAAATGACTCAATGGCACATAATACGTAACCTCTAAATCAGGGCACAGATGCTACAGAAAGCAATCTTTCTGTAAGTAGGGATTAGAGATGAGAATGATTGTGAAAATGAATTATTATGGTCAATTGGTCCTTTGGATTAATAGTTTTGGAATACACTATTTGTGAACAGTTAAACACATTCCCATGTGAAAAGATGAAGTCCTCTCTAAGTGAAATGGATACTGCAGGAAGCGAGGAGGAATAATGCTGTATGAGGTCCCCCTGAAAGTGGAGCCTGCTACAAAGGCTTGTGTACAAGTGGTACATTTGAGAAGAAACATCAAAAAGTAGGGAAGAGGAACTACTGAACAGAAACAGAAAAAAAACACAAAGCAAGGATGCATTTTCACGTTGAATTCTTGCTGGCAAAACAGTACTCAAGCTCATAGTGATCTTGATAACAGCATTATGGCCTGTCTTTCAGAATTCTGTTCTGTTATAGAGGAGATGCAAAAGGAATAATTTATGGCTTAGGCCCTACCTCCCCGTGGGCAAGGGTGGCCTTACAAATGCTAATTCCCCACATTTGGCTGTGCCTAATGGGTTTCCAGAATATCTGGTATCTCTGCCTTGTTTCATGAAGGGAACTGAAGGCACAACCGCATTGCTGTAACATCAAGCACACTGGTTTGAGTACGAGGTAAGACTGAGAAGCTTGAATTGATGCAAAACACGGTTGGATAAAGACAATAGAGTATTTAGATCCTATTGTTTATCAACTACTTTCCAGACACAGATACCAAACCGAGACTTTCTTCAAGTATCCAAGGTGACAAATACAAGGATATTCATTATGCCATTCTTTATTATAGGTGTTCATCGCAAGAAAAATGAAAAAGTGAAATGTGCTGGATATGCAACATGAAATGTCATATGCAGCAGTTAGAACAATAAATTCCATGTAATCTGCAACATGGGTAGATTTTAACAATTTAGTGATGAATTAAGAAAAAGAGAGACAAAATGAGATCTATGGCACAACATGATTTACCTAATAATTCTTTATATGAAAGCAACACTAAATAGTATATAAAGATCCATGCCTCTTAAGTGCATCTATTGGAAGGAGGAGAGGCATCCACTTCTTAAACAACATGCCTCCGGAAACTCTATGAACTTTGATAAATGTCGATAGTTGTAGAGGGGCTTCCGGCCTTTTGTTCATAGGGTCGCTATGAGTTGTGCTTGACTTGAAGGCAATCAACAACAACAACTACAAAAGGGAGGTAAAAGTAAATAAGGATTAGAGATGAGGATGATTGTGAACATTGTCATTGTTATGGTCAATAAATCCTTTGGATGAATAGCTTCAACACCTTTCCATATACTTGCTTTTCTTGCCATTTCTTTGAAGAATTTACCACTCTTTTAAGTATGCTATTTGACTGAGAAAGGGCAACTGAACTAGTTCAAGAATTGGAAGCTATATTTTGTTTTTAGAAAAATCCTTTGTGATGAGGAAAACTTAAGGTACAAATAAAACCCAATTACAATATATTGCTTTGTTATGTGCGGTGTTGAGTCAGAGCCGACTCACAATCGACCCTCCAGTGGGTATTCAGAGACACCCACACAAATCACATGGGAGCTGAATGCCATCTTCCTCCTGCAGAGCAGCCGGATGATCTGAATCACATGCAATTGGGTTGGCAGCACAATTCCTACCACTATGCCACAGAGCTCCCTAATAACAACATGAAAGATCTAAATAAGAGCCAAACAAAATACTAAACCTGTTGCTGTGGAATTAATTTGGATTCATGTTGACTCATGTGTGTCAGAGTACAACAGTGCTTTATAAGGTTTCTCAGTGACATATATATATCTATCTCACCAAGCTTTTCTTCCAAGTTGACTCTGGTTTGATAGCCACGTGTGTTAATCTTTTGCACCACCAGAGACTTAAAAAGAGCAATACACATTTATTTGTTAAATTGAGATTTTTCACAGCTTTAGTTTGCTTGGCTCCACAGTCAACACTCTTGGCACCAGTAGCCAGGAAACTAAAAGGCCCATTGCCATGGGAAAAGTCTGCTGTTAGGGACCTCTCCAAAGCACTGAAGAGCAATGGTTTCTCTCTGGAGACTAAGGTGCATCTGATACAGGCCATGGTCTTTGCAATCACTTGTTATGCATCAGAGAGTTGGACAATGACCAAGAAGGACAGAAGGAGAAGGAGAATTGATGCCTTTGAGCTGTGGTGCTGGAGAAGAGTATTGAGAGTACCATGGACTGCTAGGAAAACAAACAGATTCATCCTGGAAAGAGTTAAACCGGGTGGCTCTTTGGAGGCAACGATTCTGAGGCTCCGTCTAACATACTTTGGACATGTTATAAGAAGAGACCGGTCCTTGGAGAAGGACATCATGCTGGGGAGGGTGGAGGGACAGCGCAGGAGGGGAAGGCCCTCTATGAGGTGGATTGATTCAGGAACTGGGGTAATCAGGATGGGAGTGTCAGAGACAGTGTGATTGACACAGGATAGAGCAGAGTTGTACACAGGGTCGCTATGAGTCACAAGCAACTTGACAGCACATAACAACAACAACAACAACAACAACATAGTATTAGGCCTAGATACTTGCCACTTCTGAAAAAAAGACATCTCAAAATTTCTCTGGAAATCTCAGAGACAGAAAGGGAAGTACTGTTTTTCTTAGGAAAGAATTTCCATATAGAATCCAGTAACCCCAGAAATGGTTAAAGACAAACAGGAATCCATGTGATTTAGCTATCAGAAGGATTCTATTAAATAGTAAGCTTATTATAATGCTTTGACGTGGAAGATAAGGAGACAATCAGGTGTTTCCACCATCCATCCCCTGGAGGACATTTGTCAGAAGTACTTAGTTGTATGGATGGCATGCCCAATTGGAAGCAGCAACTTGTTTATTCTTGGACCCATAATGAGATAGTTATATTTCAAAAGGAGTTCAAAGCCTAGCTTCTTCAGATGAGGGCTTGAATTTGATTATAGTTGAATTTATAAATACTAAGTGCTCAAGACTCCACAAGGACTTAGACACTATGTAAATTAGTGCATCTGACTTATCTTCTGACTTGCAGGCATATTTGAAAGGAAAAAGGTGAAAATTACTATTGGTGCTGAGGCAGCATTGAGCAGTGGTTAGAAAGATGGACACTGGAAAAAAGATTACATGTATTTAAAACCTGGTCCTATTATTTAATTGCTGTGTGATCTTGAGTGTGTTATAATATCCCTCTGCATTTCAGTTTCCTCAACGATATGAAAATAATGACAATATCTGCTTTGGGGAATTTTATTATATTTAAAATATTTATGTTTATAAAGTACTCAGAATAATGCCTATCACACAGTAAGTGCTTATAAGTGTAAACAAAACATAGTCTAGATCACTTATGTAAAGCAAACGAGATTGTGTGTGAATCAGTCTCACATTAGAGTTTGATACTTTTCCTTCAAACATGCAGTTTGTGATGACAGCTAATAGCCCAGGTGTATGCTAAGTAGCAGATAAAAGCTAGTCTAGTATTTAAAATTAACATAAGCATAATTAGTATTTGTAGTTCATTTATCCAGTTTGGGCACAGGTGCATTCTTACCCTTTTCTGGAAAAGCCACACGAACAACAACAACAACAACAAAAACAACCCATACAATGAATATAACACTTTGATATAAAACCTAGATCAGTTAAATTATCATGTGGACAAGATATTCCTATAAAGTAATGACATGGTTCATATCTGTTGTTATTCATAGGGTCGCTGTGAGTCATACTCAATTTGAAAGAACCTAACAACAAGAGTGGCCAGTACACATTAACAGACATTCTCTGAACATTTACTGTGTAGGACCTGGTGGAAGGCTTGATGAATTGTATTGTAACCAACAGCAGAGAAGACCGCCAATAGTGATGTATGGTGGCGGCACTGATAGTGAGCTTGGGAGCTGGTTGGGATTGGGAAGGAAGTCAGTATAGGTAAAAAAGAGGAAAAAACAAGATAATGGAAAGCAAATGGAACCAGCTGCAAAACTCCCTTAGAAAATTAAACTCTACAAAACAGAGGGCTATAGTTCAACACTGTGGTTTTTGAGTAAATATGATTCTCCCTGAGCTGGAAGAGGGAAACTTGGAGGACTTTCGCAAGGAAAAGGGTA